CCCTGAAGGAGAAGAGCTGATAAAATGCGGGAAGTTAAATCTAGTTGACTTGGCTGGGTCTGAGAACATCTCTCGTTCTGGAGCTAAGGAGGTATTGTATCGTGTAACAAGCTTGAATGCTGCTTTTAAATACCTTCATCTCTTGGCATCAAGTGTATTGTATTCTAAAGTAAGACACTTTCTCTTGACTATAGGGCCGTGCAAGGGAGGCTGGCGAAATTAATAAGAGCTTGCTTACTCTGGGCCGTGTGATTACGGCATTGGTAGAACACCTTGGACATGTTCCTTACAGGTAAGCAGCAGTTGCTCATGTTGGTGCAGATACAATAATTGCTGTTTGTTACCTTGCTGAAAATTCTCCTATCTTTCAGGGACAGCAAACTCACAAGATTGCTGCGTGATTCATTGGGAGGAAGAACAAAGACTTGCATTATCGCTACTGTTTCACCCTCCGTGCATTGCCTCGAAGAAACCTTGAGTACTTTGGATTATGCACACCGGGCAAAGAGCATTAAGAACAGACCTGAGGTGATATCATATTATAAGTATCCAATCACAAACATTACAGCCAATATGTCTACCAGTTTGTTTGGATACTTGATATAGATGGAAATGTTCCTACTAGATGGCATGCACTTTATATGTAGTGAGATATGTACTCCCTCCCTTCCAAATTATAAGATGTTTTGGTTTTTCTAGGTACATTGCATTTATTATGTATCTAGACATAGTCAATATCTAAGTGCATAGCAAAAGCTATATAGCTAGGAAAGCCAAAACATTTTATAATTTGGATGGAGGGACTGAGGGAGTATATAGCAATATAAATAAACATATTTTCATTTGCACTCTTTATTCACTTATGCAGCCACCTGCTTAACCCTTTTTTTTACTTCGTAGTAGAGTAGCAGTTGTTGTTGCCTATGTTGTTTTATGGGATGCATGCATTTAGATGGCCCTCTTGGTGAAAACTGTGCTATGATTTGTTATTGCATTATCGCCATCTCATTTGATCCAGCATTGCACACCAATTTAGTTCTTGATGTGTTTGTGGTGTTTGAGATATTCAATTATAAGAGATGTTGAAGTAGTCTGGATAAGTCTTTGCCATTGTTATTCTAGAAGGATCTATAGCCACAAAACTCACTTTTGGGCATGCTCTTGCTGTTTAATTCATGTTTGATACCTGATATTAGTTTTTTTTGTATCTTTCTTTATTGCAGGTAAACCAGAAAATGATGAAATCAACATTAATTAAAGATCTTTATGGTGAAATTGACCGACTTAAGGCAGGTCAGTAGTGAATGCACATAATGAATTCATCTCAACAGAATGGTGACACACTAGTCCCCCCTCACAAAACTTGATTACTCTCCAGAGGTATACGCTGCTCGAGAAAAAGTTGGAGTGTACATTCCCAAAGACAGATATCAGCAGGAGGAAAATGAGCGAAAGGTAGAGTTTGGCATGGCATGATGTTTCAAAGTTAGTCAATCTGAAGGGGAATCATTTTTTTCGCCCCTGAAATGACTTGTTTTCTTTAATCTTTCCTTATGAAGGCGATGGCTGATCAGATAGAACAAATGAATGCTTCTTTGGAAGCAAACCAGAAGCTAATTAGTGATTTGCAACAAAAGTATGATTCTGAGCTTCAACATTCTGCTGATTTGAGCAAAAAGCTCGAAGTCACAGAGGTAAGTTGCATATTCCTTAATTTGGTTACTTTATGGTTATCTAAACCATAAGGCTTATAGCTGTTTACTGTGATAGAAACATTTGGACCACACAAGCAACCTACTCTCCACGACAAAAGAAGAGCTGAAGCAGGTACAGTATGATCTAAAGGAGAAAGATTATATAATTTCAGAACAGAAAAAAGCAGGTACCATTTTATGACATTGTCCATTCCACGAAACCATTTATTTTGTTATTTTTAACAGTGATTTAACTAATTCTTATTACAGAAAATGTTTTAACACACCAAGCTTGTGTGCTGAGATCAGATCTGGAAAAATATACTCGTGATAATACTTCACTGTATTCAAAAATTGGTAAGTGTCTTGGAGTATTTCTGTTACTGTCTTTATTACGATTGTCATTTGTGTTAACATGTTGTTGACCATGATGAAATAGCTAGGGGAGACAAGCTAAGTGCAACAAATAGATCAGTCGTGAATACATTCCAAACTGACCTTGCTTCGAAGTTGGATATTCTTTCCAATACACTCAATGCATCAGTAGATCAACAAAATATGCACCTAAAGTCTGTGGAGGATTTATGCCAATCTTGTGTTGAGTCCCATGACAAGGTAACTATTACCGAACCTTACTCAGTGACTTCATATTGTATGCTCACTATTTTTGTTTGAACATTTGAAGGCTACTTCTGAGCTGAAAAAGAAGATTTTGGCTTCAAAATCATTATACATGTCGCATATGGAAGCTTTCCAAAATGTTGTCCTCCTACATAAAGCAAGTGCAAATTCCACACTAGAAGATGTATCATCACTCTCTGCTGCAAGCTGCTGTAGTCTTGACCAGGTAAGTAATTTGGCTGCTTGTGTAGCTTAAAAAATCTACTTCTGTCAAGTTCTTGGTCCTAACTGTTGTTCTATTTATGTTCATGGAAATACCTTTTCTCACAGCTACTAGCTTGTGTTGAGGGAGAGGCACAGAATATATTTAATGACATCCATAAATTGTTAACCACCCACCGAAGCGAAATGACACACTTCACTCAAGAATTAAGGGAGGTCAGTCACAATCTCTGATGATTTCTCTCTTCCTCTAGATTTTTAACATGCCGTCTCTCAATTGGAGTTCATTCATGGTCTTGTAGAGTTTCCAAATAAGCTTGGACAGGACAAAAGAAATGTCCACTTATATTATTGGGCTATTTGACAAGTATGTTGAGGAAACATCCAAGTTACAGAGCCACTCAAATAATACTCATGAAGCACAAATGAAAAGCATTGAAGATTTCCAGATGGTTTATGAGGTGAGCCATTTAGCCCTCTTTTCGTTTGCTGCAAAGTTTGGTAGGTGTGTATCTAATACCATCTTCTTGTGCAGGAGCAATCAAAATCAGAGGAGCAGAAGCTTCTAGCGGACATAAGCAGTTTAGTGTCTAAACATATTACTCGACAAAGAGAGTTGGTGCGTGCATGTCCATGATATTATTCTTGCATCCGTTTATTTCATGTCTGTGGCAAAAGCTTGGGGCCTACCATATAGGGACACAAGTACACGATCCTGACATGCATTTTCTTTCAGGTGGGTGTTAGATTGAGTTCTCTGGGTGATTCTGCCCGTGGAAACAAGGCATTTTTGGATGAACACACATCGGCCATGGAGTTTGTCACAAAAGATGCTAAGAGGAAGTGGGAAACATTTGCAGAGCAGGCTGAGAATGACTGCAAAGCTGGCTCCAGCTTCTCTGCAGCTAAGCATTGCCGCATGGAAACCATGCTGCAGGAGTGGTATGTCTCAACGGTTGCATGGGATTATTTTTTGTTCGTCCACTTATCCGTTGAACTTGGATTTCATGAGTGATCATTTGTGTTTGACTTATCCAGCGCATGCACTGTTGACTCTGCTGTTCAGCAATGGAAGAAGTCACATGCTGCTGTTAACGATCTCAGCAGAAAGCAAGTTGCTGAAGTTGAAGCACTTGTCAGGCAAGTTGATTAGTTCTATTGCATCTCAATAAATTCATTTGGCACTCTCTAAGGGTGGCTACTTTGGTGACAATTTGCATGCCCATGCATAATTTTAGTGCATAAGAACAAACTTCTTATAATTTGAGTGACAGCAGATAAGCAGCCAAGGGGCAGTTGCAGTGCCTGAGCATTCGAGCCAGCACTTTTGTTTCCAAAACTATGTATTGCCCGCTAAGGTAGCTTGGTTGTATTTTTCAGGACTGCAATTGAGAACAATGAGCAACATGAAGTGGAGGTTGCATCTTCTCGAGCTGTGGCTGAAGAAGACGCCTCCAAAACCAGCAAGAACATAGCCCAGGGCGTTGAAAGTACTTTCTTGGCACTCGATTTGTTCATCTTAGTCAGCACTTATAGAGTTCTCTACCTGACCTGGGCGTCTTGATACATCAATTTGCTTCAGATCTGTTGGAAGAGGCACGGAATTCGAGTTCAAGAGTGGTCTCAACGGTGGAGGCTCACTTCGCAGAGCTACAGAAGCTGCAAGAGAACCACTCCAGCCAGGCTGCCGGTATCAACATGCACGCCGACAATGCTTTCCAAACCACTTACAAGGTGAGACTGAAAATCTGCTGAAAGCCTGAAACTAAAGTGCTTTCTTGAGTTACCAATGCATTGAACAATTGACACCTCAATTACCCTAACCCCCTAACTCTGCAAATGCTTTTCTTGCAGGACTACGAACCGACTGGTGAAACTCCAGTGAGGTCTGAGCCGAACGTGCCAAGCAAAGGTTCGATTGAGTCGCTGCGAGCGATGCCCATGGAGACCTTGATGAATGAGTTCCGTGAGAACCATCCGTATGAATCTGAATCGAGCAAAGAATCCAAGTTATCTCAGATTCCTCGCTTGCCGCTCGCGACAATCAACTGAGACATTCAAATCCCCGTGTGCAGTGTAATTTATTAGTAGGGCATCAGTTTGCCGGCTTTGGTGTCCTTGTTGTGCACTTGTGCTAGGTTAACTGTGGGGGGTGAGCTGCCTTGGCTCTTCCCCAGTGCATTACCCTTTTGTTCCCAATCAATCATTTGTAACATTTTGTTTTGTGCGATACTGATATTGTAAAGCATCAGAAATTTGTGAAAGCTATCTTGAATTGGATGAGGCATTGCATTGGAATCCGAATGTTGCATTGCACTGGAATCTGAATGATGCAATGCATTGTGCAAACAAATGATAAGGTTTTGACTTTTGAGCATCGCACAAAATAAGCGATAGGGTTTTTGACAAGACTAGACATGAGGTTTTTTTTTGGGCATAGCATCTACACTAGTTGGTAAAGATTCAGGCGAGGTAGAGCTGCATCTCCGAGCGGTTCTCCTGCTCGACCACCTCCAGGAAGACGGGGTCGACGGTGATGTGGCTGTCGATGCGGACGGAGAAGGGGCGTGACCAGAGCAGCACCGCGGCCTCGCCGGCGATCTCGACGGCCGCGTCCAGCTCCATGTGGCGGCACGCGACGTCGGAGAGGATGGCGCGGGCGCGGTGCGCGAGCTCGACGCCGTCGAGGCGCGCCGGGAGGTGGAGCAGGCGGCAGGAGGTGGCGGGCTGCTCGCCGGCGTCGAGGCGGGCGGTGCCGAGGTGCGCGCCGCCGTAGAGGATGGAGACGGTGGAGGGCCCGTAACGGACCGGCACGACGTTGGGGTTGGTGGCGTGCACGGTGAGGGTGAGGCCGATGTCCAGCGCCGCCGGCGCGCGGAAGTGGAACGCGGACAGGCTGATGGAGATGAGCTCGAACCGAGGGTCCCGCGGCCAGCACAGCACCAGCGCCGTGGCGGCGGCCGTCGTCGCCGCGCCGGCGAGCGCTGAGCCCCAGCTCCACCGCCGGCGCGACGGCGGGGACGGGGACGACGCGCTGCCCATGGCGTAAGACGCGCGTGAGGTGGCCGGTGGCCCTTGTTGGGAAGCCTGGAGGAGGTGTGGAGGGCTTCTTCTGTTGTGTGTGTAGGCGAAGGCTTTGGTGATGGCGACCTGATCCGTCCACACTTGACTCTTGACGTTGATTCGTGAACCAACGGTCTGATTTGCCTCCTCCAAGTCCAACTTCCAAGAGATGGCCAATCACTGATGACGGTTTTTTCAAGATCCGAATTACAAGGGAACAGTCCAATCGCGTCTACAATCAACATCAGTACACCACTGCTCCAAGATCCGAACTACTCCAGCACTGCACAAAGGAACTCACTCATTCACTAGATCAACCAGAAGAACAGAATTTGCAGTAACTTCAAAGTTCAGACCAGCATAGATAAAAACGGCTGTTCATCATACAGAATATATGGAAAGAATTGAATATACACGGCCCTTTTTTTTTTAAAAAAAAGGTCTACGCAACATTACAAATGAGCATTTGAGATACGTCACTATGAGCTTGGGTACAGGGCATATGTTCCCTTCAGGTAGTCTATGATTTCAGCGCTTTCGAACATCTGGACTCCGGTGTTCGGATCTTCAATGTAAGGCGCCTGCCAACACAGTAATACATACATATATGATGTCACATACTAGGCATGCAAATCAAGAATGTTCAGCGTCAAAGGCATCAATAGCAAGGCCTCGTACCTGGAAAACACCCTTTTTCTTCAAAAAATCTTGTCGTTTAGGGCTGCCACGTGCGCAGCTGCATGAATAGTTTTAGTTACTAACACTCTTGCAGAGCACATATCTCAGTCCAGAAGAATTGAGCTAATGTGTAATTCTACTAAGGTGAAGTTTAGCAACAGCTTCCAGGCTGCTATGACGCCAGCAAATTAAGCTACTTATTCATGGACTTGTGGTTTTTAAGTATTTTGGATACCTGTGTAGCAAATGTGGCAATTCCAACTCAACAAGCGTCTCTCGTACTAATCTACAGAAGGGGGATCCCTGAGAAAATAGATCATCAGCCATTCAGACTCCAGAACTGACACTATGCTGCAATAGATCACAACCATGATCTGTATACTATGAAGAAAGCTCATGTGTTATGGATTCAGACCTCATATGCCCATATCTTTATTGGCTGAGGTGGAACTTTTGAAGCAGTATAGGAATTTCCCTGTAAAAATGGCACAATGCCCCATGATTCTGAGCAAACATTCGTCAGAGGAAAACATGCAATGAACTTGGTTATATTGTTTTTTCACATTGTACCTTTCCAAAACGACCAAGAGTAGCAAGCCCTGCTGTGATCGTCTACAAAACAAAGAGTGAAAGTTATTGAAACTGCAAACTGATCCTTGGCAGAAAATAAACCATTATACTCATCGGATAGACAAAAACTGAAGCATACAGAAAGCTTGTGTAAACATATCACATATTCCTAGATAATTGGGTACTGAATTAAACCATGCCATTTGTTCTTGGATAGTTGGGGAACTAAGTACATATCATATACTTTTGATTGCTGGTACTTAGTTACTTACTGTTAATTGATGATGTTTTTGCTAATGCTAAGACAGGGGCATCGCCCTGGAATTCTTAAAAAAAAAGTTACTTACTGTTAACAGACCAAGTGATAGCATAATTGGAACAGTTCCATCACCTGAAAAAAACAAGCACAAGTGAAGGAGGCGACTAATAGGAACAACTCTGAAGGGCAAAGGTAAAAGGGAGATATGTTGAATACACACCATATGTGTCAGCTAGGTATTTTATGATGTCATCCGATTCATACATGGCGACCCCTGTGTTTGGATCCACCTGCAATAGACGTGTATCACAGTATAACTTATTCCTTCAGAATTGTCAGATGAACACCCTTATTTTCCCCAACGAAAAATATGACACACATTAAAGTAGCACATTGCATCAATTTGATGAGTCACAAGTCTATACTCAATGGTGATCACAATTCACAAGTTTGTTTATAGAATATAGTTCATACGCCACATTTCCATATTTCACAGATGTGGATGTGGGCGCACTAGCAATCAAATATCACCTGAAGTGATAACACACAATAGGATATCAGAACTTAGGTAGGATGGTTGCATACCATGTAAGGAAACTGTTTCTTTCCACCCATCTCCAGGACTTTAGGTCGGAATGTTGGGCCTTTTTGAGGACAGGGGTAAAATAATACATCCAGGTCCAAGACTGATACCATCTCTCTGACCTGAAATTTTTTTCATCGCAAATACAAATACCAAAATTGTTCATGTGCATGAAGAATGACAGCTGCAAAATGCAGTTGCAGTAGATCGGGAATATTCACCTTTCGACAAAATGGACAACTGAAGATTCGGAAGAATACACCAACAATGAAGAAAATGAATAAGTCAGCATGATCATTGGGCAAAAATAATAGGGGTTGGTACAACAAAAGTAGGTTTTTTTTTTTTTGAGGAGTCAAAAGTAGGTACAATTAGAGATAAACAGGACTACAGGAGGCAGAGGCAAGAGAGGCTGTACCCTTCAAATTCATATATTTCGATAGGCTTTTCTGGTCGTTTGCACTGTCCTATTTTTGATTCCTCCTTCACCTTCCAAGCTACAACAAGAAACATATGTTTGCAGTTGCGTACTGTTCTAATAACTACTTAATGAGTGGGACTCTGTGATTTTCACAAACTGCATCGTATTGTGCGACTCCGTGTGATTTCCATGATATGGTATAATAGTTAAAATGAAATGGTATAATAGCTATTGGTCTGAAATGAAAGAAATGTGAATAGATTCACCGGTACGGTGCGTACCCGAGGACGAAGACGCCGGTGCCGAGGCGGAGGGGTGTAAACGCCAAATTCCAGTGCGTATTGGTCTGATGGTATCTCTGATGGAGAAACAAGTGATGGCGAGTACCTGCAAATTGAAGTAACACGTGCAGGTAAGCAGGTGTAGGCTGGCTGTAGCCCGTAGGCGAGGTAGACGCGCGGATGGCGAGAGAAGGCGCGGTACGGTGCGTACCCGAGGACGAAGACGCCGGTGCCGAGGCGGAGGGGGATGGCGAGCGAGGCGCCGAGGACGCTGTTCTGCTGGCCGGGCTTGACCTCGAACCTCTTGGGCTCGGGCACCTTGAACCCCGGCGGCGGCTTGAACTCCAGCGCCGGCGGCTCGGGGGCGGAGGTGGAGGCGGAGGCAGCGGTGGTGTCCGGTTGGGCCGCCCTGACGGCGAGCGAAGCGGCCCTGGCGGCGCGCGCGGTGGCCGTGGCGGTGGCGCGACGGGGGAGGAGGAGGGGCGTGCGGTGGTGCAGCGCGGTGGGGGCGGCGGGCGGAGCCATGGATGGACTCGACGGCGACGGCGACGGCGACCCCGGGCCGTACGGCGTTGGAGTTTTTGTGGCGCCTACGCGGCGAGACGCGGTGACGAAGCGATTGGTGTACCTGCTGCACTGATGGTCCGCTGCTGCTCCTGGGCTTCTGCCAGCGGAGTGGATGATGGGCCCGGTCGCCAACGGTAATACATAGAGCAGCCAGCCATTGGATGACATGTGGGCTAACCTAAGAGGGCACACGAGCGACGGTAACGTGGCCTTAAAATTTGGCTTAGTCGTGACAACAAAACAATATTTATTCGTTGAAAAGTAGTCATGCACGACAGCACCCTCGATCTTTTTTTTGGCAGTTGGCACCGATGCCCCGCCACCTTCACCGTCCACAGATTATTGGCATAATATCCGACGGCGACGGGTCATCGCAACCTGCTGCATCCAAGGCCGAGCCGAGCGCATGGGCCCGAAAAACGCTCGGAGTAATTACAGGACAGAATCTAGACCTGTGAACAAAAAAAAAAAAAAAACTCCAGCCTGATGTATTCAGATTTCATTATAGTTGCCTGATGTAGATCGTGGCACGGTTAGGCACATTTTTTTTTGTCCTGACCTAGCATGCAAAATTAATGGATATAGATGATAAAAATCGTAGATGTACAAATTTAATGCAAACAAAGACAAGTTAACATTGATATATGAGAAACAAGTTCACCGCATCGTTTTTCTTCTAAAACTATAAACAGTAACCAGTGATCACCTACCAGTTAATAGTCGTTATTTGGGCTAGATGGCACTTAATAAACAGAATAAATGGTCAATTTTTATGGTGTTTAAATGGGCAGAGGCACAATTTAGTCAAGCAGTGTCACCGAATGAAAGTTGGGCTTCAGGGCGTTTTCTTTTTACCAGGGCGTGGGATGAATGTATGGTTGACCAAATATATACATTATTTGTAGGCTGATGAGTATGCATATTATGCAGGCGTGGGATGAATGTATGGTTGACCAAATATATACATTATTTGTAGGCTGACGAGTATGCATATTATGCACTAAAATCCCTTTTTAAGTATCCTTGATGAGGTGAAGTCTAAATTCCATACCCATCTTCTATTGGAAACAAACTTATGGGATATTTGGGTTACAAATACTCATTGCCAACTTTAGGAGGGCTACACCCCTGGTGTCTCGCCATCCGCTCAATGTCCATCTAGGACGCCGTTCAACAACCTCTTCAAAAGCTTCCTCTTCCAGTTAACCTCACATTGAATTCTTAATTGTAACCTTTACCTAAACTGCCCTAGGGCGCTGCCGTTTTAACCTTACAGCTCGGGGTCGGATGGACTGCCCTGTTCATTTTTAATTTGGCGAGACGATCGTGGATTATTACTACTGATTTGGCGTTTGGTTTGGTGAAGAAAATACATTTTGCCGTGGATGATGGGCCCGATGACTTATAATCCACGATATACGTGTTTACGACCTTATAATAATTTATCGTAAGAGCAGCCAATATGTAGTCTTAGCAAAAACTTAAGTTGGCACGATGCCCCGCCACCTTCACCGTCCACAGATTATTGGCATAATATATACGTTACAACAATAGATGAGGATACCATCCCACAATCTGAGTTTAAGTTTTCACTAGAGGTAACAAAACTCAATAAGTTCTCTACGCTGCCAAAATTCAACAAAACCCAAAAACTTCTTCAATCTCTTTCGGGCTAGATTATGAAAGCAAAGATCATTCCTTAGTTTCCAAATACCCCACAGGGTAGCAGCACCAATAATGTTGAGTACAACAGATTTCTTGTCACTCAACCAACAATTGCCAATTGATTCAAAGTTATAACCGATGTCATCAAAATATATAGTCTGGGAAACCAATTACCATAATTGTTTAGCAACTACTCCCTCTGTCATGTAATATAGTGCATTCTAGGAATTTTAACATTTTATTTCCTAATCAGACGCTATCATCAACGTGATTAATGGTGATTGGTTGATAAATGAAAAATATTTAATATAAAAATGGTTTTTGTCCTTTATAATGCATTATATTTGAGGAAATTTTTGAATGCGAATGCAGACGAAGGTAATACACACTCAGAGAACAGGTGATTCACACTTTCCTCCTATCAAAATAAGCAATTGTCATTGTCAATACATAGATTTACTCTTGCTCAAATTATCTCTAGTAAGAACTTTGTTCTAGGAAAGTAGCCAAATAAAAAGGTGAAGTCACACTGATCCCACTCGCTCGTGTCCTCGTACTTCAGCATAGGAAATGAAAAGGCCGCCTACTTGTCCAAACGTGTGGAGGGATCGGCTATGGGCGGCCGCGGGAAAGCAAGAGCCTTCCTACTGCGCTTCCTGCTGCTTCTGGTGGAGGCTGATGACGACGGCGGCGCACTCGTTTGTTCGCAGCAGTCGCGTAGCCCGTACGCTCGCTTCGACGCGGCGTGGAAGATGACAAAGAGGTTCCGTTCCGGCAGTTGGGTACGGATACGGACGGGCGGTTGCTTAGCCAAGTCGCTCACGCACGCCTGGCCTGCTCTGCTCTGCCAAGACGATGATGATGGTGTTTTCTTCTTCCCCTCTTCCTCGTCCTTCCTCCCGCGGTTCGTCTTGAAGTCTCGGATCAGAAACTTCACGTCGGTTCCATGACACGCGCAGGGCATGAGAGATATATACAAGATCACACCGCATGAGCAGCATCTGCTCCTGAGTTCCTCCTCCGTTCCTGAACCACCAGCAGAGCATTTTTTTTAGCTGGCCAGGCCCGGTTTCTGTTGCTCGGCACCCGTCCCACCCACCAGCCGCCCTCGACAGGCCAGCACGACAAGGAGGGAGGAAGTCGCCACGCCACCTCGCTCTCCCCCCTCTCCACGCCCCGTAGCATGGCCGACTACAACCGCTACGGCCACAGCTACAGCTACGGCGGCGGCGGCGGCGGGTATAGCCAAGGGCCACCGCCCTCAGCCCCGCCGGCGCCGCACATGCCCGCCACCACCACAGCCGCCCCGCCCTCCTCGTCCTCCTACGGCGGGTACCCGCCCGCCGCCTACCCTCCGCCGCCCCCGCAGGTGGCGGCGGGCGGATTCAGCTCCGGCGGCTACGGCTACGGCTCAGGCTACGGCTTCGTCCCCGTCGCGTTCCCGCCGGGGACGCACCCGGACGTCGAGCGCGCCTTCCGCGCCGCCGACCGCGACTGCAGCGGCGCCATCGACGAGCGCGAGCTGCAGGGGGCGCTCTCCGCCGCCTACCACCGCTTCAGCATCCGCACCGTCCGCCTCCTCATGTTCCTCTTCAATGACCCCTCCTCCTCCACGCCCTCACGGATGGGTAACTAACGCCCGGCCCTGCTTCTGAATCGCTCCTCTCTTTCTTCTTGCATGTTGCATCAAGGATTTAATTCGCCTCTGCAAACTCTGTTGCTGCAACAATAATAGTTAAGGTTCAGATTCCCAATAGTGCCTGCCACTTCTGATTGCACAGTGCTAGCTCAATTGTTTCATTTCTAATCGTTCTCTTCAGCGTGCAACTTCAATTTGGATATAAAGATTAAGCTCATTACGTGCTCAAACCTGAAATCGCACGGTGCTAGTTGCTTGTATTGCTGCTGCTTCTCAGATAGTATGAATGCTCAGTGATGGTAACGATGTAGCAGTTGGTGCTGTACGCCATCCTTACTATTTTAGGGGAATTGTTCTTTCTGTTTCTGTAAAGCTTCTGATTACCATCCTTCTGCGCGTGTGCCGGTTAACAACTTTTTAGTACCATTCATCTCTCTCTTCGGGGAAAAAATAGTATTCATCTCCTCTCTTTATTCAGGACCTCTGTTGCATGTACTTATTTTCTTCAAAGCAGCTATAACATTTTCCGTGTCAGAATGGTATATACAAGCTACTGACCCCATGCTGCTTCCACGTTGCAGGGCCAACACAGTTTGTATCTCTCTGGAATTGCCTTGGGCAATGGCGGGTGAGTATTGCAGGATTTCTCAGTTCAGTTACAATTACAAACACAATGCACAATTGCTACATTCTTGTTGTGCCACTGGTCCAATTTGTGATGCATAACACTGTTTTTGCATCCAAGTCGCACACAATAACAAATTATGTATACAAAAAGTACCATTGGTTATCAACTTGTCTTTCATTATGCAAGAATCTTATGCATGATTTGAGTGGAGGACATGTTTCTGTGTATGGCACAGCTGGCGCTCAAATCATGTGTAATGTAATGATGAAAGAAGTCAAAAGGCGAACTAGCATTATTGTTGTCGACATGTTTATTTTGGAATTTGAAGTATCGTCTATATGCTGTGATTCAGAATTGGTGATCTGCTTATTGATTTTTCTCCATGGCACCATCTAGGGAATTTTCGACAGATACGATAGGGATCGGAGTGGCAAAATCGACTCCCGTGAGTTGACCGAAGCTCTTCGTAGCCTTGGATACGCCGTTCCACCTTCTGTCATCGAGCTTCTTATAGCGAATTACAACAATGGTGTGCCTAGCAATGGCGCGCTAGACTTTGACAACTTTGTGGAGTAAGTAATTTGTTGTGAAAAGTAACCTTTCTATTCTTATCCACATTTCAGTGGCTGAGCACATGTGACCTGACTTGGTATATCTTTCTGCTCTTTGTAGATGTGGGATGATTGTGAAGGTATGTTAGTTTTGTTGCTTGGATACTACAGCCTATGGAATGAATCAAGGATTACAAGTTGTAGTTACTGATATATATTCATTTTATTTTACGTGCTCGTTTTGTGCAGGGTTTAACTGAGAAATTCAAGGAGAAGGATACCCGCTACACTGGCTCGGCCACTCTTACATATGATGGATTCTTGTCAATGGTCATCCCCTTCATCGTCCCTTAGCTTCTTTGGTTTCTTTCTTTAGATCAATCGGGCTGCTGTAATTTTGTAACTTCATGGTCATCATGATTCTGGTGGAAGCGTGTGTAAATGATTTTTTTGTTTTTGTTTGTAAGCAGTGAATCTTGTTGTGCAATGGTCCCGTTATCTTGCAAATTGACTTGGTAATGCATAATAACTTGTCCAGATTCAAAGCTAGAACAATGGTCTTTTTGGACGGAGGGAATACAAGCTAGAATAACTGTGCTTATTCGAAAAAATATAGTACATCAACAAATTGAAAAAAAAAGGATTGTTATATAATGCAAACACATGTTACCGGGTCAACAGCCAGTCTCTATGACCCATAGTCTTGCGTTGGGTGAACTACCTAGCAGGCTCACCCGGTCTATTCCGCTCACCCGGTCTATTCCCGTGGGTCGGGATGGAAGTGGGCATTGAGTAGGGATGGAAATGGGTCAGGTCGATCCATTGGATAGTTGACACGACCTGAAAAGTAAGGCTAGTGGGTCATAGGGGCCGACCTCAAAGTCAAATGACCCGATAGGGCCAGAACCAATTGATCCAATGGTTAACCTGGGTTGATCCAACCGTCAGATAACAATTTTTTCTGTAATTTGTTGGCCTTCATCATTTTTCTAAATAAACACAGTTGGTCATAAAATGTAAGCACGTGGAAGTAGATCGAGGAATATAATATTTTGGAAGTGACATTAGATAAAACTAAAATCATGGTTCACATGAAAAACTTATTTGATTTGATGCATTGCTAATAATTTCAATGCACATGACACTAACATCTTAAGCACAGAGTTAACTTTTTAAAACATTTACATAACATTTTCACTTGCTTCCTCACCGGTCACTAGGTCTAATGCACATGTATAGTTAAACATCACTTAGTGGCGCTAGATAACCGTAATCTCTTTAGACTTCGCCTTTTAATAGGACTATCTGTCTTTCCTCAACCTGACCGTGCACTCTATTGCATCTTGCCCGACAAAAGCAAAGCAATATTAATATTACCTTTGCCTTCGGGCTTCCTGCCCACTCCATCTCTCTCCTTCTCATCCACGTTGAGCACTTGACCACATCTTGGCCATCACCATGTCCTCCATGGTTGCCTTCTTGCTCAACACCTTAGTGTGGACTAGACCTAGCTTAATCAACACTTAAGCAAACTATTATTCCACCAGTTGTCACTCAGTTACCAAAACCAAACTAGGATCTTTTAGGTGCTCGACTACTCGAAAGAGAAGGGTTATCATTGCGATCTACGAAAGCAGTGGCACAGAGGCCGAGAGAAGGTGACGCGAGAGGAGTTGGCACGGGAAGGATGGGTCATGATGTGGGAGCTAGGGTTCATGGAACTCCGTATTTCTATACTATAAGCTAGCGGGCTGCATCAGGTAGGCTAATAATCGCGCTCAGCCGCGCGTGCTAGCACACCGTGTCGGGTAGCGGTCTAGTAGGCACATCCCACTAACGAGAGTATAACATAGGGGGGTATGCTAAGTCCCTGAGAAAGAGGCAGCAATTTGAGTGACCCCCTAACCGAATCTCTGAATCGTTTAGGGCTCAGGGGTTATACCCATCGGTGCTCTCGCGTGTAGCCCTCTAGCGGAATAAGGATGGCTCAGCAGCCCGTAAATCGCCGTATGCCTAGGAGGCCTGCGATGTTAGAAGGGCAAAGCCCGAGCAGGCCAAGCGGCCATCGCTCGGGGCTCGAGGGCTCAGCCACAATGTCGGGGTTCTCGACTGATGGGGAGCCTGGGCGGAGCTCCTGCCCTGGTGACCGTCTAAGTCGTAGCTCGGGGCCAACCCATGTCCCGAGCCAAGACCAGAAACCAGCTCCAGAATCTACCGGGTGCTCAGAGCCTGACAAACATAGAAGCACTACGTCGCCTTCCCGTTCCACAGCCGCGAGGCACTGTCGGCCACCCCCACGACAAGGCCACGCAAGGGGCGTGACGCATCAGGACAAAAGACTCACCAAGCCCATGGGGCGGAGGGATCCGGGCCCGCTCGTCTGCCCCTTTGGGCAGAAAGAGGATCCTTGCGTAAGGAAGCTCCGAGAAGGTTCATCGAGGGACGGTCGCGTTGCAACCTGATGGTCAAACGCCAGACTACAGCAGAGACATCAGCGCGTTGTGACATTGCTCACGCCCTCCTACACAACAAATGAGTACCCGATGGCACCAAGACGAAGGAACCGAACGTACCGGGCGGAGAAGCCCTATGTTAAAACCTCCTCGGTATATAAGGGGAGGCATGGGCTCATGTAAAGCCCGAGGTAGAAACTGAATCCAAGAACCCTAAAATAGCAACGCGTAATCCCCTGTCGAGCTCTCTCTACACCATTGTTGTAAGAAACTCTCGATCGAACATTTTTCAGCCTGTTCGCTTGCTCGTATACGATCGTGGATTATAAGCTGGAACAATATTTTTCTCTCACATCAAACCAGCCAGCAGTAAATAATCCACAATCGTTTACGACGAAACGAACAGGCTGAACAATACTATACTATTAGACGTAGGGGCTTAGAGTCCCGAGGATAAACAGCTCGTGTTCCTGCAGGTCGTGGCCGGGTGGAGTATCCACGCACCCGTACCCTAGACCTGAACTAAAAACACAATCCGAACCCAAAAGACATGTCGGGTGAAAATATAGCCCCGGCCCCGAAACCCGCGGGTGTGGACGACAGGCACCAGCTACGTCTCCAATTAGGGCCCGTTCGCGTGCTCTTAAATCCGGCTTGATCCGCTTCTTTTTTCATTCGGAACAATATTTTTCTCTCACAAATTCCTCCAGCATTCCTCAAAACCATCCAAATTCCTCCAGAATTTCTCCAAGCGAACATGCCCTAGTTGAAAAACAAGTGAACAGAGACAAAAACTATGAATAAACAAACACATCCATCAAATTAGAGAGAGAAGAAATGAAATGTGAGAGAAAAATACTCTTCCGGCTAGAAATTTACGATCGTTTACGACAAGCCACGGCCAAACGAACATGTTGTTTAGTTTTGAGTGTCCAAACCACTGAAAAGCCACACGTCGCCCTCCGACGAACAACTCAATGCTCGCCGCGGTTGGAACCCATGACACCCACCCATCAAACCAGGCCGGTACGGAGCAGGATGGTCATCGGGTGGTGCCATGTCTGGGCCGTGCTAGTTAGTTTTACACGGCTGTCCAACCACCGAGATCGCTCTTCGGTTGAATGGTTGATGCGGGCGGCTTCTATCTACCTGAGCACCGATCCTCCTCTCCCACGTTTCCATTTTGTTGCCCCCAAATACACCGTACGTCCGTACCCCACCACGCTGCTGGAAACACTGCCGAAATGACTGACTGGCTGTGTGCGTATAATATAAATAGATGCGCTGCTTATGTGACCACCAGCACTCGTTTATCTCCTCTCTCGTCCCTGAAGCAAGATTAGGCCCAGGAGAGAGAGATCAATAAGCATACGTGATCGATGATGTACGAGTACGAGAGCATGGACGCGGCGAGGATGGTAGCGTATTTTAAGGGCAAGAGCATCCTCAGAGCATCTCCAAGAGTTTTCTAAATCTCATTCTAATCATTAGTTTTTAGCAAGATAAGAAAAAATCCATCTCCAACAACCCCTAATACATCCTCCTAATCTTTTAGCGCTTCGGAAAAACTCTCTCAATCCGCGTAAAGTTACGCGCCATAGACATGGTGCGTATCGTCGCCTCCCGGGCGGTCTCCCGTCTTGGCGCGGTCTTTTGGTGCGGACGTCCCCCTTCGCGCGCGAAGCAGAGGATCACCGCCGCCGTCTACTGGAGAGGAGTTCGTCGCCATCGTTGTCGTGTGGAAAGGAGAGCAGTCCGGAACCATGGCGGTTACGCCGCTCCGCACGGCGGAGGCGGCGGAGGGCCATGACTGCGTAGATCTAGACCCCATCTGGAAGAGCTCTCGGTCGTGTGGCCTGCGTGCTCGCCCCTGTAGCTGGCTCTTTTGGTAGCGCTGGCAGCTGCCGTCGCGGTGCGTCCGGCAATCTCGGCGGGATAGCCGAGATTGTGGACGGCGGCATTGGCGGCCCTGCGGTTGCTGAATGTACCTTTTGTTCTGTGAATTTGGTTTGTTCGTCTGATGCTAGCTTGTCTTGGTGGCTGGCAGCCAGCAGCTTTATTTGCGTTGGACTAGTTGCCTGCTGCTTGATACTGTGCTACTGATTGCCTGCATGCAACTGTGCTCTGCTGATGAGTACATGGCCGGCAAATACTGCTGCTCTGCTGGTCATACTAGATGACCGGCGGCCTGTGGCTGGGAAGTGCTGCCGGCCTGCTGGGAGTTGACCACAGCCGCCTCCGATGTGGCCACGGCCTGCTGGGAGGAGGCCAACTCCGGCTGGGAGGTGCAGGGCTACGGCAACATGAAAGAAGGCGGCGGCAGCGGCGGATGTATGCGCGATCACGAACAGTTCCCTGCGGGAAAAAAAATAACGCAAAAAAAAACTCAAGTGGGACCAAAATTTTATTTTTTAAAAGTGAAATATTAGGAACTATTGGAGATAGCCTTCTTTTTTTTTTTCTCCCAATACCTTTTTAGGAGTTGGAAAACATAGAGTTTTTAGGAGAAATATTTAGAGAACTCTTGGAGATGCTCTCAGCGTGCGCGCGCGCGCGCACACACACCACATATATATATATATATATAGTATTTCTATATTGTACGTGGGTACTGAATATTAATCGCTACCCGAGCCAACCTGACGCACCGCCCCGACCCCGAGCCAACCCATCGGCTGGCCGCTGGCCCCGTGTTCCCGTTTTTTTCTCTCCCGCACTCACCTCCTGTTTATTATATTCTTTTTCCGTTCCAATATTCGTAGATCGTGGGAGGCGCCGGTTTCTTCTATCCACTGCCATCGCAAGAACCCAGATCGCCGCCGCCCTCGCCGCACGAGCCCAGCTCGCCGCTACCCCCACCCCCGCCTCATGAGCCCAGCTCGCCGCCGCCCCCGCCTCATG